AACTTTATTTTTTTTGTTCCGGTGATATGAAAACATTTTTCCAGCGCATTTTCCCAGGAGGTGTGTTTGATGCAATGCGTGCGCGACCTTTAGTGAAGGTCCAATTTTGATAAAATTTTCAGAGAATGCTGTCTTATATATGACATGTCAACACAGTTAGCGTCAATTAGCGCCGACGCTTCTGGATCGAATGGTAGCTTTTCCAAAAACGTCCTAAAAGCCTTGATTGTCACGCTCAATTCCTCTTTTTCAGATACCAAAGCATTTCCATTGAAAACTAATGGCATATTCGCAATCAGCGTGTTAACATGCACCGAATAATGTAGAGGTAACAAAAACAATTTTGATTGAATAAAAACGTTAGTAGACAATAAAATCGATTGGCTGAAGATTGAAATCGTCGTCGGAATGTGGCCATGTGAAGCCTATTAGATATTCATACTGTACTGATACCCTCAAGGGTAAGCCAACGTCTCTTTTTAAGATATTTTGGCGCTGATGGGAAAAGACAGGACTTGGACACAATACACTTATCCTAAAAGCTTGTCCTGGAAGCACAAGTGGAGAATTTACTGTTATCAGTGAACGTGTATTTTTCGAATTATCTTAGATTTTACTTTTTTTCTAGAAAATTTCTGTTTACTTTCAAACATAACAATGCCACAAAAAGCTCGAGGAGTAAATAAGAAGACTGTTGAAAAACAGAAAGTGATCGAAGTATGTTTCACTTTTTTTGCCTATATTGAGGTTATTTGTTGAGCTGACCTATTTCCGGTTTGATTTCCATAAGACAAAACGTTTAGTTTGAAAAAGAAAATAAGAATCAAAAGTATATTCAACAAGTTTAAAATCACGTACAAAATGCAGAAAAACGACCAGAGATATAAAACAAAATTAAATCAGATAAAAGCCCTAGAGAATATACTTGGTGCAAGTATTTGATTACTTGGCGAGTGTTTAGGAAGTACTTGACCAATTTCCTCACTTAATAAGTATTTGCAGAAGACATTCACTAGAGAGGAGTGAAAACATTTTGCAAAAACTGTATTTATTCAGAAAAGCTGAAAAGAGAAAGATATATGGTAGTGTTAGACAAAGTGAAAATAAAGAAAATGGTATGTTTTTAATTCGATTTTATCGATAATAAATAATGATCTTCTCGTTCCAGAAACCATAAAAACCTGAGATGATACAAAATTAGCTAACGTTGTTGAAAGAAAACATGGTGAAAAAAATCGGAAGAAAGATGACACAGATTGTATAAATGAAACATTTCGAATATTCATTTTAAGATCTACTCGGTGATTTTATTTTATTTTAGATTTGTACATATTTTTTTTGAAACCATTGAGAATAAAACATATGAATGGTTTTGGACACATGAAAATACCAAATTATATGTATAGATATGTGTTATGATCAGGTTAATATATTTTTTTTGATGAATAATACATTCATATTTAAATTATATTTTTCCCTTTCATTTAGATTATATGTTGAAATTCTGTATTATGTATTTTAGCGATGAAATTGGTTACAAACATCGAACAGATGACGAAGACGCACTAGAAGAAGAAAAGAGGCAAAAAATCATTATTTTTAATTGTAAGACGAAGCGACGTATTAATAATTAACAAAAATTATTAATCTTTTTCTTTTAGTGAAAAACAATTACGACAAAAAATCTACAATACGTGACCTTAGTGATGATTTACTGGTAATAGAAGCGAGTGTAGTCAATCATTTTGGTACAATTTTCCAACAATGATCGATTTGAACAATTTAGACAAAATTGAAAAAGAAAAAGAAAAAAAACTGCCGTAACAGGTAAATGAAATTATCTTTATTTTTAATCATATGTCAGGTATTCTTTATTTGTTTTTCTTTTTGTGACAGCTATTATCGAAGAAAACAAACTGGATCAAGCATGTGAGGATGCTGCTACGTCGAATGAATTGCAATAACAGACTGACGGAGAAGAAGACGATGGAACTAATAATTAAAGAGAACGTCTAGCGAATGATGTAGACATTAACAAATATTTATTTAATGACTATGAAACATAAGACGATATTGAACAAGAGTAAAACAATCTATTAGTAACAACTAAAAAACCGTCGATATTCTCATAATAAAAAATTATGAAAAAAAATGCCTTGATGTGAAGAATAGCTGAGATTTTTCTTCTTGAGAATTTGGTGTATAAGGCGATGTAAAAAATTATTATTTTACTATGTAATTAAAAATTTTTCATGAATAAAATTAAAAAATCATTTTTCCCATTTTTAATTTGAATAATTTACTAGCAAATATTAATCTGTTAAAAATATCAAGATATATTTTCATCTGCTCATTTGAATATAAACTTGTTTTCGCGCATTAGAAATTTTTAGAATGTCGCAGTGTTATAGGAAAAGTTTTCTTGAAACTGGACAGGATAACCTTGAGTTACACAATAGAGATACAAAAAGTATTAGAGAATGATTGTTACACTACCAAAACTTTACTAGTTGAAATTCTATTTCATAAGCTTTATTTATTTCTCAAAATCCAAGTTTTTTCCCTGTTTGTTAGAGACAAAATATTTTTAGTCTAACTGAAATGCGGTTATAAAACTTATTTTAGAAAACCTTTGGATTTCGTCAATAGTAAAAAGCTCTTTTTGAATTTTTTAATATGAAAACCGAAAGTGTTTTTTTTTGTTGTTTCACAGAAAACAACTTTTTTTTTAGAGAATAAAGCTCAATTGCATTTCTGAAAAAATTCATTAACCGAACTTTTTTGGTGAAATATTTAGATGCACTTCCCGTAGGATTCTACAGGGCGAGTCCAGTCTAAAATCGAGTCGAAGATTTTCAAAGTATCTATGAGACGGAATATGACAGGATGCAGATTTTTAAACTATATATGGAACGAAACAAAAGCTTCATTCCATTTGATTCGTTTTCATCCACTAGAAGATTTTGTTTTGTTAATAAATAATGAGTAATGTTTTTACTACGAAAGTCTTCGAATGTACAATGACAATGTGAAAAAGAAAACTTTTACAGTTTCATATGTCGAAACTAGAAAAAAACACGAACTAGGTTGTCTGCTGCAGAGACTCTACTTAACAAGAAATAATTTCTGTGGAAAAAAAATGAATTCTGTGGAATATCATTAGATAAAAATTTTCTTCCATAGGAGGAAATTTTTTTCCCACAACGACTCCTTCTACGACACATCCGTTTATCCGAAAACTCACTAGACTCATAGGTTTATTTTCACGATCGTTAGAAAGTTATAAAAAGGAGAATTCTTTCGACATATGTCTGATATACAAAACAATTAGCAAACAGTTTGTTTAGGGCAAATAAAATTTTTCTTTATTTGTTGATTTAATGAGCATTTTTTTTGTTTCTATGATTTCTCTTTATAAGCAGATGACCACAGTAAGTTCGTGTTTGATTATAAATAAAACGTGTTCAGTTTTAAAGTTGACTGAAGGAGAAAAGGCAGCGGTTCATGAAGCAGGCAAGATGTTGATTTGATTAATTTTCAGAAAATAAACTAAAAAATTTTTATCATTAACAACACATAATCGAATTGCTGCTGTGTTTGTCCATAAATCACTCCTCAGATTAAAAGGCCAATTTGGATTGTTCTATAGCACGCGTAGAATCGAACATTTTTTCGAAAAAAATGTTCGATATTCAAAACTATAATAGAGATCCAGGATCTTCTGTCTTGTGAGAAAGGAATTTATAAAAACAGTTTAATTCGAATATAACGGCAAACTTTAGGAATATGTGACGGAGTGACGTTGCTAAAAAGTACGCGTCACAGGATAAAGAACGAGTTTGTTTCGAAAGGATGTAACTCATATCAAACTGGGAAAAAATATTTAAGAAATGACTATGATCAAGATTTTGTATGTTAGTTGACAGACAGTCCGTTGTCACTTGCCTGATCGAGAAATATTGCTCGAATGAGTGTTGTTAGAGGAAATCATAAAATCTCTAACAGGCGGGAAGTATTTATTCTTCTTCTCGCACATTCTCTATATATTGGGTATCAAAATTATTTGTTCAACCTTCTTCCTTTCTCATAAGAGAAACAAAAACCAAATTTAGCTCAATATTATTCATTTTATCTTTTTTAATTTGACAATATTGCTCGTTCGAACAAAGTCGGTCTTGCCTGTTTCGGCAATATATCTTGTTAGAACAGACAACATATGAATAATACATTTATATATATTTTACGCACATTTATACGTACGAAGTCTTACTGGAATGGTTCTTTTTATGTAAAGTAAATAGGAAGGTGGTTAAATGTAGCAAGAATTGCGATTTATGATAAACTCTATCAAATAATTGTAAACATATCTAATAAATTTCAAGAGTGCTCTTCTTTGTTTTCTCTATAGTCATTCTCTAACTGTATACTTTTATTTTAAATATAATTCTTTCTTTTCTTTGTTTCTATTACGTTGAAAGAGCACACGTAGCTTTTTATATGAAGATTTATACAAAGAAAAAATTTTTTTCGTTTTTATAAGAAATTCATCCGGGCTAAATTTGTTTACTTAAATAGTACATGTTAACGTCGAGAATAGGATTTCTTATTTAATCGGGCAAGGCATATTGCCCGTTCCGGGAATACAACCCTGGAAGATGCTTCTTCCCTACTCTGAAAAAATAAGCAACTCTCCACTGTGGGTAAGCGCCATTTTATACAGTTTTTGATGCGATTACCAGAGATTTGGGCGCGCAACACCTGGGCGCCCACATTTGGGCGCATGCACTACAAAAGCATTCAGCTAGAGTGCATTTGTTAAAGTATGATGCATAACGATAAAATTTTCTTTAAAAAAACTTGGTATGATGTGAGAGCTTTTTCTATATTACTCATATCCAATTGTAATCACTGTTTGTTTAATCTTCATCGATACTCACCCTCACCCAGACCGGCGCCTTTGAACCTCAACTCTCGTTGCACCCAAATATCATTGAGCCCAAATGACGTGTCCAAGTGTCGGTATACCTTTTGATACTGTTACAAATGGAATAAGTCTCTTTATGCTTCACTGCTTTTATTTTTACGCTGATACCATGCGAGGAAAAAATGTGAAAACCTGGTCGAAAGGAACAAGTGACTCCTTGCCTGCTCAGTCTAATTGGGCTAGAAGATGTGATAACGGACGGTGTCAACGAATATATAAATACTGTGACTAAAATCAATCGACGCTTGTTCGAATAAAACAACACTGAAAAAAAATTTTTTTTTGCCTAAGGATATCTTAATCTTAATAATACATCGATAACAGAATAGCTAACGCACGGATTTCTTTGTTCTAGACTGTTTGTGATGAAAGATACATAATGAATTGACACGATGCTAATTTATCGTTTATTTCGTAATGGCTGTTCATCTGTCACTAAACGAATATCTAGACCATCCTGTTTATCAATTTGTCGATTACGATGTGGACGTTTGAAATTAATCTATCAGGTCTTTTGCTACAATTCGGATGGTAAGACAAAACAATTTCACTGAATAATAAATTCTAATTTAGTATGAATTTTTTTGTTGTAGATTCTGTTGACTTGAAAATTGATACGTTATTACAACCAATATTTTCAATAACCAATCGTATTGCAAAATATCTTGGACGTTTATTCATCGTCTTTTTTTTATGTATTATCGCTGTAGTATTATATGTATTCTATTTTTGTATATTTTGTCATCTTTATTTTGACAAAGATCAACATACATTTTTTATGTTTTTATTGCATTTTATTTTTGGACATTGGTTATTAATCAATATTCTATTCAACTATATACAAGCTGTAAGAACAGATCCAGGCTCATCACCAAATTTTGGTAAATCAAAACCATACAATTTTGCAATAGCAAATAACGATTGCTATAATACACAAGAAAATCCCAGCAATAGTGATACTAACAATAATATCTCAAATGCAACGACAATAGTACAATTATCAGAAGAAAGAAAATCAAATAAAAAGTATTCTAGTGGCAAATACGGTATGAATCAGATTTAAATATGATCGATGCTTGTGCAGCTGACTAACATTTTCAATAGTAGAGACAAAATGTTTTTTTGTTTATGACTGGTTGTTTTGATTCGAAATAGATTTGCTTAATTCAAATATTAATGACTAATTTTGCTTTTTACTGTTGTTTTTTTTTAGAATCCAATTATAAGCAGTTAAAAGACAATGATGAAGGTGATACTGTGCAATCTTTATTAACATCCACATCAAAATTGCCTGATTCGTTAGAAGTCTATAATCAACAATCTCAAATGCAGAATCAAAAATTGCATTGTCATCATGTTTGTCGAAAATGTATTTTTCCAAAACCGGCTCGAGCACATCATTGTAGTGTTTGCAATCGCTGTATCCTCAATCAAGATCATCATTGTCCTTGGGTAATTAATTACTCAACTTGTTTATTTTTGATTAATTGTATACTCTCATTTTTCTTCTACTTTTTATTTAGGTCAATAATTGTATAGGACATTTGAATCATCGTTATTTTTTTCAATTTTGTTTTTTTTTGACATTGGGATCGTTTTATGCAGCAACGCTAGGCTTTTCTGAATATCAACATTTCATGTTTGGTGAAAAACGTTTCTCTTATCTTGATTTAATACTTGGAACTCGTATTACTGACAACGACATATTACCATCGGTCACAAATCCATCAATGCATTTTACAATGTTGTACTTATTTATTGTTTGTGTATCAGCATGTTTTGTATTATTCTTCTTTACATTGTGGCACTTTTGGCTGGTATCGAGAGCAGGTAAGAATATTATAAAGAAATTCAAATTACGTTATTAATTGTTATATCTAATTTTAGAAACAACAATTGAATATCACATTAATTCTACTGAACGAGCACGTCTAAAGTTATTAAAATTAAAATTTCAAAATCCTTATAGTTTAGGATTTAAAACTAATTGGCAACTATTTTTAGGTTTTCATAGTTTCTACGATATTCTTTATAAAAATTTATTGCCATCAGCTCATCGACCATTCTCAGATGGTATTCATTGGCCTATGCGCACATATACAAATGTAAATACTCCATTATTAAATGTATAAAAGATATCTCACATTATGGTATTATCAGACACTATAGTATATCTGTGATACAAGTTAATAGTTGACCCCCATTATTTAAATCTATATCGTTTCTTTTATATAACATTTTAGATTCCATTTTTCTTATCTTATTCTTATTTTTTATTAATTTTAATTGTTTTGATCAAAATGATAAATAAATACATTCTAAAAATTTTTACTATGGATTGGGTTTACTTTAGCTTGATTTCTGTCGATAATAATGGAATGTTATGAGGTACTTTTTATCCATGTAGAATTCTTCATTTTTATTGAAATCATCTACCGTCTGTCTTAAGTCTTCTAAAAACTCGTCTGCTACCAGCGAAAAACGACAGACACTCGAAAAAGATAGTGCCTCCATAGACGGCCAGTAGGCGCTAAGAAGCAGACATTCTGATATAAATTGTGTCATATTCAATGTGATCGACAATGTATGTCTGTTGCGCTTTCAAGGTTACTCCAGGTCACCGAGTGCCAGTTCTGGGGCTCCTTGTAAATCCTGTGCCACGTCCGAATTACCAAAAATCAAGGTTTCCTGTGACTTCCATTTCGGACATTTTGCGCTATCTACTCATGAAAAAAAACATATTGCTACCTTACGTTTTCCAGAGATTCTCTAGAAAATCGGTTTTAAGAAACTTTTTCAGATTCTTTTTGCTTATAAAAAGATAGTTTAAAGTCTTGGCTATTGAATGGCGGAAACTGCAGATCGCTATCACTTTTCTATCAAACATTATCAAGAAAATGACCAGGTCTCTCGTACTTTGAAATGGATGATACTTAAAAAAACAAACTTGTGATTAGGTATGAGAATTTAGTTTATGAATCAAACGAATATTTAAGTGAATATTAGGTAGTTTTTTAGTTTTCGTTTCTTACGAAGCGCTTCAGCTAATTGAATGGTGACATAGTACAAAACACCAACTGTTGACTACTTAGCTCTAAACCAAATTGTTCTTTAGCAAAGAAATCCATGCTATTCAAATGGCGAACACATCTAACATGACGTCCTTATTTGATACTAAATCACTCAACACGTCTTCTCCAACTTCACAACTACCGAATCATGCGTACATATTCGTACAAAAGGCCTAACTTGAATACTTTCATCATTTGTTGTACTAGTCTAAAGAAATATGCTTCTGATATTTTTTCAAAAAAAGTCGTAATAATTATTTTTCATTGTTCTACTATATTTAGCTGAATTAATGTTATTTTTTGATGATATCATCCTCTATACCTTGCAACGTGATCCGAACACTTGGCCCTGATGCTAAACGATTATTATTATATAACGTAGGGCGATGATATTTTCCGTGTAAAAAATTCTTATTGGTACCATTTTCTGTTCTCTAATAGAGATATACATATGAAAAAAAGTTATGATAGTACAGTTGACAAGTAGAAAACAAAAACGATGACTTGTGCATATCAAAAATAAGACAGTGACATACAGAATAGGAGCAAGAAAAGGGCGAAATGATTTGCACATTTGAACATAAAAATGAAACGAAGCTTATGCAGACTCATAAAGTCTACTGTCTTTACGCGCATTTCCTATACAGATTTCATTTAAATACAGTCACAAGAAATCATCACTTGCTATATAATGTCATCACTTGCGGTAGTAAATCTAATAATAACTGGAATAAGATAGATGATTTTGAATATTTCTCACACTATGTGAACGTGAAACATTTTGGCAGATAGCTGCAGATCTAGAGTATCGATGATTTGTAGCGTGACTGAATTTGTGTTTTTGTACTGAATCGGATCGTCCATACAATCTGTAATTCGTCAGTCCATCATATTGTTCAAGAAGAGTAATTCTTTAATTTAAAGTGCTTTCGTGCTTTCATCGATCAGTATCATATTTTTCAATTTATCCATCGCCTATTTCTTTAGTACATGAATCAATCTGAATAATTTCAGTTTGAATTTGACTTTTGATATCCAACACAGCATAGACTTTGTTTTCTATTAGATTTTAAATAAAGGGTGGACATATGTCAACAGAACAAGAAAAACGAGTTTTAGTTGTATAGAATAATGTTTTGACGTTCTTGCATTGATAGCAACACTACTTACCTGAGAACTTCTTTGTAATAAAACTTTTCCAGGGAACACGAGAACATCATGAGAACCATTCTGCATATGGATAATTGCATTTTGTTTTCTTCAAACCTTTATTTCATCTGTCTTAAACACTCGTTCACCATATGGTCGGTTATCAAATCGAATTCAGATCAGATTATGCACTCACTACAGTTTGATGAATTCGAAACGATGATGCTATCAATTATCTTGTATAAATTACTTTTTGAACGGACCTCTGCCTAATGACTGCCTGTTGTAAAATAGCTATTTTTAGTAACTATTAAATTCATGCCACCAATAGAACCGATTCATAGCTACGTTGAGTGCAAAAGCCACATTCATACCTTTCTCGGATTGTTATTATCAACTTATTAGTATTTTACTGGAAAAAAGTGAAATCTCTGTATCTTAGAAATCATTTACTCACCAAAGAGGTTGAATCTTGTTGGGCAATCAGTCGAACGTCATAGAATTCCGCAAGATAAATTAGGAAGAAAGGCACTTTTAGCAACCAGATTGTTTCCTTAGCTTAGCGCAATTTTACTGTATCAAAACACATGATTTTTTCTTTGAAAAACTTTTCCTAGACATTGCCTTCCAAATACGGAAATCCTGAGAATCAACCACTGTTTAGCATCCAGCATAAAGTTCTCTTCAGTATTTTGAGCTTTTTTATGATGAAAAAACGCTCTCTTTTTCTAGTTCCGTTATTTAAACGCTATCCAATGGTCTAGCGAATATTTTACATATAGATGAAACGTACTTCTCTTTCTTTTTGTTTTGACGGGTAAGATTTCTTTGTTAAGATTTTTTAGCATACTGCCGTGAAGCAAAGTTAAAATCTACTGTTACTTTTAAATTTTGCCGATTAAAAAAACACTCTTGAATCGGTGGACCGATCGATCAATGGTATATTTTACCTATATTCTTCAAAGCAAGGGTATGTATAGTCCCATGTGATACCAGATACGAAGTGTCGGTATGCTTTAAATATAGTCATGCATTTAATTACCGTTACTAATGAGATAGCTATTCAATTCTTAATATCACATATATATCAGTTCATATATATTCAATGAGAATTGAAAAAAAAAAAGAATATGATATTCTGAATGAACCTCTCGATGGAACTTTGTGCATGTTAAATGCCTGAACATCAACTGCTGATAGATAGTTCTTTGATTAAAAAATAAAAAAAAAATGTTATAAAGTGATAATTGAATGATTATGATGTGTATTTTTTCAGCAATACTTAATAGAACGAAAGTTGTAAAACTCAGAACTAAAAACAGATCTATGAGTAAGAAAAATGATATCTCTGTGACGTCAACGAGAATTACTTTCTTATTAGGCCTTGTAAATCGAAAAAAATGTCGTAGGATTTCATGATTCCAATGGGAATTTATTCTTTTTATTTTATTTTTTTTAATTAGTATAAAAGATGTAACTTTCAGTTATCATTGATGTTTGAGAAAACGACGATTATTTACTTAACATTTTAATAAATAGTTTCAACTACTTTTATATCTCTATTCGTCTAATTCCCATTTCTAATAATACTATCATCTTGAAGCAAATAACAAGCATCTTCAACCTAATTTACGAACAACTTTATTTCTCTTATAACACACACACACACATACCTAGAAATAGAGACTGAATACATACATATATACAAATTTATTTTCTTTTTGTAGTCATGTAAAGATATTGACTATTGATATTTTCTAAACATGATGAAAAATAAAAGCGGCGAATAGTATATTTTGTATATTTATCTCTATATGGAATTCTATATTAATTACAATTTGTTGATGATGTTATATTCTCAAAACAATGGGATGTCCCTTGAGTTAAGATAGATAAAAGTGAAGCAATTAGCTTTGTCATTTAAGAAAGGATTGTAAAAACGCTTAAATAAACAATGTTTTTTAGAGAAAAAAAAAAAATCTATGTATAAATAGACGCCTGTTGATGAGATAGCCTGTGTAGCTGAAATGATTTTAAAAAAAATTCCAATAATGGTGATGTAGAATTAAGTTAAAATATTTTTTATTAAATAAAAAAACTTTTTTTCTAATATTAATTACATCAAATATACTGTACGTACAAAAAGAAACAACACGTTGTCCTAAATCTTCTGTATTTATATTAAAATTTTAATGCTACTTTTTTTATTTTATCAATGTTTGTCGTCTAAGCCTGCTTAAATGTCTTACATAATGATTGAACTAATGTATACAAAAAAACAATTCTAACGGTATTATTCTTATATTAACGATAAACGTATGATGAACAAAACTTTCTCATCGAATTTTTGCTTCATTTCTACTAACATTATTCTATCTAAAAAAATAACAACAAAGCAGTAGTTTAGCTCATTATTCACGATATTTTGCCTGTATCACTGACATCAATGGAACAAATATCATTTAATAAGTGAACTGTAAAAACTAATAGAATCGCTGATGGTAGATGGATGACATGATTCTAATTACATTTTTAGAATAATAGTAATAATAATAATAATGATAATCATCATTTTTCATGTGGTTGAATTTATTATTATCAATTTTGACAATCAAATCTGTCTGTATATTCATTCACATAGACTCTGGAAAAAATAAAAGAAGAGAAAAGAAGAAGATTTTGTTCATTCGTTCATACACACTATGATTGTCTTTTTAGTCTATAAAAAAACATTGAATATTTGTACCAATCAGTAATTTTATTGCACCTGTTTTATCTTGTTTTCATTAACAGAGTTATTTATGATCGATGATGAGCATTGAAACAGAAAAGAATGCGAGAACATTATCAGTAACAATTTACGTACTAGTATCATTGTATATCATATTTTTTTTTTTTTTGAAGAATGAACAATAAGATAGATCTACTACTCTCTTCTTGTTCGAATTAAACTGGAATTCAAATTTAATCACGAACAAAGTATAGAGAAATAAAAAAATATTTTCTGTTTGTCATTGATTTATGAACAATTTATAAGTGAAGTGTAAACTAAATCTAGATTTTGTCTTATATAGAGAGAATATTTCTCAATAAGATAATTCTTGAATAAAAGATTGATATTATTTAATATTTTTTGGATTATTAGAGGAAAAAAAGATTTGAAAAATCACATTTAGTTTTCTGTCGAAATCGAGAAGAATATATGGATGTTGACGTTTTTTTATAAGTGTCTATTAACAAATATTTTCCTTTGAAGTCATTCAAATACAATAGCAACAGTAAATAAATGTCAGTCAGATCATCAGGATGGTAGAAAATAAATAGTGTAACTTTAGAATTACAGTCAAGAATTTAGTTTGTCTGGCTCATTGATCGAAGATATTTTGATTTTTAACTAACCAAGAGCGAACGAAACAGCACTATGATAACATTGAAATGTTGACGGTAATAAAGCGTAAAATAGCTTTGAAATCATGCATATGAGAAAATAATTTAGTAAAAAAATCTACTTGCTGTTAAAATTGTACACAAGTCTAAAACCTCTTATAATTGTATTTTATCATTTATCTATTAAATGATGTATTCCATGTACACATTCTCTACTGTTTATTTTTCATTCCATGATTTCTATCACATCATTGACGTTCTGTGTTTTTTTTTTTTAGTATATTATCTGATCTGTACCAGTTAGATACCTATTACAAAAACAACAGAAAAGAAACAGAATCTTGAATTAATATGGTTCGTCCTCCTTTTCTTTCTTTTTTTTTTATCATGTTCTTAATTGCTATTCGATCCTTCATCAAATGAATAGCTTATCAACCAATTGATTTGCAACAAACCGATACAAAAGTAGAAGAGAAACTATAAACGCATCTCTCTTGAAGGAAAAAAAAAAGAAAAGAGAAAATACATGTTACTAAATATGGAATAAAATTGTGCGGGTTGTTGTTTAGTAAATGATGTGTTATATTGTTTTCTATTTTCCTAAGCAAAAAAAAAGGAAAAGAAGAACTTATTTACAAGTGATAATAAAAATAGAGAGATTTATCTATCTAAACATTTACTGAATAGCTACACATTTTTTGACAAACACTTGACAATCATATACGTTGTTAATATGTGTATAAAATAAGAACATTTTTGATCTCGTTAATAGTCTCATCCAACTAGAAAATAGAAATTTCCCATCTCTCACCTGTGTACAAGATGATGACTGACTATCGCAGTTGTCAATATGATCAAGGTAGTGGTAACTATGTTTATAATCCACATCAAAATTTGCTTCATCATCATTTACATCCTACTGCTCATCATAATCCACAACAACAAATATATGATACGGCAGCTGCTGCGGCCTCCTATGCTGCAATATTACCAGCAGAATTTGCGTCCAGTTATACACAACTATATCATGGTAATCTGCGTTATTCAACATACGATAATACAACATCACTTTATGCTTCTAACACTTATAATAACCAACAAACATCAAATGAACTTGAACCCATTAATGGTGGTTTATTGTCTTATACAACATCATCAACCAATGGAAATTGCTCATTACAACAATCATCCTATTCTAATCGACTATCACCGTTACCACCACTACCACCATCTTCCAGTAGTACATCACTAACAAGAAATAATACCAATCAAAATTTTTATACAAATTCTTCGAATAATACCAAATCAGTTTTGTCTCCATCTCAACCGACGATCTCGCCGATTAAATCAGCGTTAACACCCACAATTCAAAACTATGGTTCACCATCTTCAACGATGTCTTCTTCGTTATCGCCACATACAAGTGATGATGGAAAAGAGCCTTATAAAGATTTATTATCATCATCGAAAACTGAATGCACCGATAATGGTAGTCAACATCATATTTTAGCACCAACGGATAGTTGTGATGGTACACGACGATGTCTGTTGTGGGCATGTAAGGCTTGTAAACGAAAAACAGTAACAGTCGATAGACGTAAAGCGGCGACTCTGCGTGAAAGACGACGACTACGTAAAGTAAATGAAGCATTTGAAACGTTAAAACGTCGAACATGTCCAAATCCTAGTCAACGTTTACCAAAAGTTGAAATATTACGAAATGCTATTGAATATATTGAAAATTTAGAAGATTTATTACGTTCGGCAGGTGTTTCAGCAAGACAAATAATTGAGAAACAAAATTTAAATAACAACAGCACAACAGCGGTAACAAGAGACGATTGTCCGGTAGGTTTCTTGTTTATATACAAATCTCATTTTTCAAGATAAGCAGGTCTAAATGTTCAGCCGAGTCAACTGTAATGAATGCTTGATATATGGTTAAGAACAGATGATTTTCACTCTGAAAATTTGGAACTTTATGATAAAAAAGACTAAGATGTATCAAGGTTCTCGAAAGCGTAATAGCAATCGACTGTGACTTAGTGGCTTTCTCATACACTTTCTCAAACGGCAAGTACTAACTATGAGATAACGAAACTATTTTGCAATTTAAAGTCCTTTTTAATGGGAAAACGATGATCATTTATATTGTTTTTGCTATAAACATTTTCTGAAAAGACATGTGAATGTTTTAAAATTCACTCTAAAAAATAATCTGTCTTAACACAAGATAGTTTAAGTCTGTTCCCGATTAGACTATTTCCATTAGCAGTTTATTTTCAAGGATAGTTCTGTTGTACACGATCGAGAAAGTGCCCCAAATAATGACTAAAATATCAATGATTTTAGTAATAAATCGAAATAAACTGACAACTTCTTTCGAGGGAATCATTGTTCTTTATATGCGGGTGACGAATGCAAAACAAAAGAGGTAAATGACTTCTCGTCTAGGAGTAAGACGGAAGAACGGCCTACAGAAACAATCGTTTTAAAATAAGATAGATGAGAATAAATAAGACGAATGCAGACAGATAGTATCAGATAGATTTTTTTTCGAGTGTTTTATTAGCTCACAACACTATGCTAAATCATTTGATTACTGTAGGCTATAGAGACATTTTGATATTTTGGAATCGTTCAGTAGGCTAACATGAACAGCAAAAAATGGGAACAGCATGAGAGGAATGTAGAATGGTTGTTTTAATTTTACACAAGTAAAATCAGAAAAGAGAGATAATGATGTCTGCGTATGTTCTAAGTAGTATATCAAACATAAAGACACGTTTAGTTGTCGTCATTGTCTTTGAATTTTTTGATCTATTTTTTGATCTATACATAGTCGGCATCCTCTTTAATTGTGATCTAATTGAATGTTTACACTCAAGATGTCACTCAGCAGTATTCTGCACAATACATGTTCTATATCAATGCAAAATTATACACTATGAATGAAAACAGGACCTAATAAAGAAGTAAACAATTTTCTGTTAGAAATGTATATATATTTCTAATCGCCATAGAACTAACCGCGAAAGGAATAAAAAACGAAAGTTTTTTAAAATCTTACATTTGTACAATAATACCGATAAACTGAAAGACGTCTACATAGTATTTATAAATTACATATTTTTAGTTAAATTTTAAAAATTTTTCTTATTTTTTGTATCTTTTAGGTGAAGTCTACCCGATCAACAGCAACAAATTACAGTGAAAAATATGCCGATTATAATTCAACAGCAACACAATATTCAACAATTGAAACAAATAGTAAGTATGACTGAGAGTGATTCTGACATATTTGTATTATTGTTTTCTTAAACATTAGAGAAGAAAAATAAAACAATTATCGAAAGAATTCGTTCGTAGCGCTCATCATCATCAACATGATTGAGTTAATAAATAAATGTGAGATAATCTATTTTACATGTGGAATGAAAAGAAAACATATCATATTGAACATCTCATTTTCATCATCTTGAATAAGAACAAAATATCATTAACAATCTTTTATTTCATTTGCACATTTTTCAGAAAAAATTTCTGAAATATGAAAGATTTTCTTCTTCAAATGACTTTTTATTCACTTTTATTCATGATTAAAAAAACTAATTTATTCAGAACATATTAACGAATAGATAGGTTTTGCATGATTAACGAAGACAATCATTTCTTACGTTAAAGCGAAACAAAATCAATCAAAAATTTAGTTTTTGAACTATTTTCTTGATATAAAGTAATGATTTTAGAATAACAGAAGGTCAATAGAGGATCATTGGCGTTGTACAAGACCTTACTTTTTTTAGTGAGGTTAATTAGATAACATAAAAATTTACGCAATGTTTTGCCTTATTCACTTGTAGACGATTCTTTTGTAGGAGATAAAACACACAAGTTTTTTATTTGATAATCTAAAAATGTTTTGGTTATTTGGATATATTTTTTTTTTCTAACAATATAACCATCTCTTTTGGCATATCGTGGTAACATATATCCATAGATTTTGTTTGATGAGTAACAGAATAATAAAGATAATTATCGACCGTACAATACACTAATGATTTTATCTTAACTTTTCACTGTCATTGTGTATGTCTGATTCTATCTTTCTTAACTTCATGCTAATCTTGTAAAAAAAGTCAATTAAATAGACCGTTCTGTGTATATATGTGTAATCTGTTCATTCCTATTTTTTTTTTTGTTCCAGATTATGATGAACCTCAAACGTCGTCAGTATCAAGTTTAGACTGCTTGTCAATGATTGTTGAAAGTATTGATCCAAATAAATTATCAGCTAGATAAATACTTTATATCGATGAATAATCACTGAGAGTTAATTTTTTTTCTATAAGAACAATGAAATGTATATATAAAGCAGCACACATTTTGCATTTGTATTTCTAGGAAATAAAAATAATAATTTATATCTTGTCTTGAACTGTCCTTGTATTTTTAATTTTACAACTTGTACGGATTTTTTGTATTATCTTTTTTATTATATTAAATGTACTGTACAGCACAAACATCGACACAAATTTAGTTTAAGATTCAGCCAACAGAAAGAGTACTATCTCGTAATTTATTTATTTCTATCTCGGTAGTCAACAAGCCCGGATGAAGTCTCGAGTAACTCTGATCAAAAATTGGATATCTATTTCACTTTTCCAGAAAGAAGAGCCAAATGATAATCCGAATTCATGCAGAAGTCTGTCTTTCTTTCATTCAGCATTTTGATTTGCTTCCGTACATACTATAGATGAAACATCAACTTTCTGAAATTTTTTCTGAGTTTTTCGATAATTGAGCGGCATGTTGGCATTTACATATCGGCTGATTTATGTTGCTTATACTATACACGCATTTAAAGAGATGTAGTTGTCGTGTATTATTTTTCAATTATCGTCAACTTTTAGGTGACGCGAGTAAGAGTGTGATTTTTGACTAGTGTCACTCACGAGGGAACCTCTCGAGGTGATTAAAAGCTTTTCGACTCAGACTATTTTCATCATGTAGGGAATAGTCAGCAGTGAAAAACCCCAAGTTGGTTTGGGCCCATGCGCCTTTTTGACGGAGATATG